TCGACCCTATGCAATAAAGGAAGTCGCGTAGGCAGCATCCTAACTTTCACCGATAAGGCATTGGCTGAAAAAGTAGACTCATCGGCAAAGGATTGATATGTGAACCAAGAGCACACTTTGGTCGGTGATTCTCAAGGTAATTCAGAGAAAAACACAAATATGCAAAGCAAGGAATTCAGTTAATAAAATCAACATGATGATCGCTTAGGAGAAAAACCGGAATTTCCACTCGGCCAGACTACTGGAGGTCGCACCCGGCATCCCGTTGCTCGTAGAGGCCCCATAAGCAGCGGAAAAAACACTGCCAAACATGTCTGTCGTTTTAAACGTCCTTGAAAAAAACTAAAAATAGCCTACCGTGGAAGCGCCTCCCCTCGATTTGACGTCGCAGTAACGAATTTGGAGCTTGTTCGCCTCTTCAACATTCCCGAAGGTCGAAGCTATCGCCTTTAAAAGGGACAAAAAGTCAAAAGCATTGGAATGGATAAATAAGCTGCCAGCGAATGGGCATTCCAAAGGAGTGCGCCAATATAAAACGTGGGCCAACAGCAGTCGGGAGGAGGGAGAGGAGAAACACACCTGGAAGACAGCTTCCGGGATACTTAAGTCAGTCGAAACGCGCAGCTTCGAAATGCTAGAAGTTTCACCTTGAGTACTCGCACCCGGAGTGGATGGTGGCGCACGGCTGGGAGATGACATTCTCTTTTCTGGTTCTGGCGTTCGGGTCAGTGAAGTCGTCGAGGGTTCCTAGGGGGAGGGTACCAGAAAACAATCTGTAGAGCAGCCAGTAATAGGATGACTTTTGGCAAAAAAAACTGTGAGATCCCCATGGATACACGGTGCTCCTTTTTCATGAGGAAGGTGGTACCTTGGGAGATGGCGGAGTCTGGGGCTCTTCAACGCGTCGCCGCTTAGCTTGTGGTTCCCGCCGCGGAGTTGAGATGGCGGCCGCAGACTTGGTTGTTGAGGGGGGTTCGCTAGAGGCCGCTGTGGCATCAGACTGCGCAGTGACAGCGCTTCCATACTCCCCACCTGTCTGCCCCATATTCTCTCCCCCTATGTATGAGGCCACAATTATAACTTCATCATCGATGGGCTCGCCGTCGCCGCCGCCGGCAGCAGCCGAAGTGTCGGCGGGTCCGCAGGTGTCAGCGGCTTTTGCGGTCACCTCGCCCTGTAGGCTGGGGCTGGTCGCGGGAGGAAGTAGCCAAGCGGGCGGCAGGCCGTTGCTGCCGTGAAGGATGCTGGGCCATTGGTTGGCCACCTCCTCCACCAACTGCACCACCAGCTCCTCGTCAAAGTCGAAGGGAAAGTTTCCATGCAGACGACCGTCGTAGTTGTTGAGCAGTTCCTCGAGGAATGAGACATCCTCTTGCGCCTGGTCGTCTCCAATGTAGGGCAGATTAGCCAACTCGGTTTCGTCCTCGACGGAGAAGTTTTGCTGCACTGGAGCCCAACTGCACATTGAAGGTACCGGATCGATCTGTTGAAATGCCAGAATGAGAGAGTGGTCAGTAATGGGGGAAATTAGAAGGCTTGCTTGTGACCTACGGGGAGTGCCAAGCAGCATAAATCGGTATATCCACTCGGATGACACATACGACAGTCTCAAACACAAGTGGAGGAAGGTGCGGTCAATTCCAACCGAGCGACGCGCTACACCGTCGGAATCGACAGTCAAACTGCAACTAGCTAGTGTGGACATCGGGTAAGCCCAACGCAGCATTGTCCAGGTAACCACTGTATTTTCCAGTCCAACTTCGATATAACCGAACAACTAGTCGCTTTCAGGCGTAGTACCCGAATGCACATCTCGATTCCTGTCAGATCCATCGCCAGTGGCGGAGCAACTTTGCTCCTCAGATCGATAGGTTCTAGGCTGGTCTTTCTGGGCAAAAGGTTTCCAGTACGACCGAGTGTCCGCTGACGTGAGCAGATACTATTCCTCAATTGCGTTAGCAAACCTTGTGTGTGTACACTACCAACATCGAACATCAGTTGAGTAGAATGCTGAGGTAAAACCAAACACCTAGGCAATCGGCATCCGTTGAAAATCGTGGTACTACACTAAGGCATTTTGTCATAAGACCGACTGGGAGTATTTGGCCACCACTGCTTGAGGACCGACTTCGTCTCAAATGAGACAGTCTGCACTCGCTGCGACAACATCGTAAGGATACCTCAGGCCATATAAGAATGACGACTGAGGTGGTTTGCATACGTTCTTCGTCGCCCACCTTACGAGCTCAGTGTTTTTGCCCTCGATCCGATACCGTTACCCACTTGGAGGCCTCGAGGAGGGGGTAGACTAAAAACCTAGCTACGCATAGTCCATGGAGACATGTGACTTTAGCAGCTGTCCAGATCTGCTGCTGTTGCAGACCGTCACGCCATCACCGCTGATCAACTTCTTGTCCGTAAGACAGGCTCTTCCTGGTAGACACAGTCATGCAGCTAATACAAGACGAATCGGTCTTCCGGAAAATAAGCGTCGAAGCGCCAGTACGGTATATTTAGTTTAGCATACTTTTAGGGTAATTTGACCGACTCACTGAAGTATTTGGTTTGATGACTGTGGTTGATAGCAAAGTGCCTATCGACACAACCCGACAGCACTACGCTAGGCTATTTTGATAATGTTCGCGTGTGCATAGCAATTCTGATGGTGAGGATGATCAAAAACGCTGTCGCGTACTTCGTCATAAGTGCACTTTTTGCGACTACTGGGTGCGGTTACAAAATACTTTGAATGCGTTGTTTCTGCAACGTGGGGTGAGCCCACGCCTACGCGCGCCACGGCACGGTTGAGCTCTTACACGAGTTCGAAGGGTTTGGACATGAGCTGTCCTCATTCTGTTATCACCTGCCGGTCGAATAAGATGCAGCAGTGTGGCCGCTAGGTTATGCCCAGCTTCGCAGAGCCATAGTGAGCTGAGAATAACAATCTAGTGGTGCAGCCGAACGTTTGGCATGGCTGTCTACCTAGCACCACCTCTCTGCGTGCGTGCCCGAACGATTACCGTCGTGTGCCCCAAGTCAGGGTGGGCGCAGGACAAGGACTTATGTATGAATTCGTTTATAGTAAAGTCAGACCAGTCGCACTCTCTGGAGGCAGACTCGGGCGCGGTAGGTGACTGGGCTATACAGCTCGTCTACGCGTGCCACACTCGAACTGGCCAATGGGTGGTGGGCGAGGTTTTCACAGAACCAAGGGGTGGTCGACCCGGATACCAGCTGAGTGGGAGGCATGAATACATGCACTGCTAAATAGGTTAGGGGTCAAAATATTGGCTGAAAGGCGGCTGTTTAAACATGCACCATTAATGGCTGAAAATGACAAATACAAAGCACCGCTGAAATGCGGCTGTTGAAAGAACAGACGGGAAACCTACATCAATGAAGTAAGGGTGATATGCTTGTCTAGTGTCTGGTTGTCAAGTTCACAATACATATATGAGGAGCCACTTACCGGTGGCATCATGGAAACCCCAACGCGAGCGAATCGACCGTTTATTTTGGCCTCAAAACGTCCCATTTGGCTGTAGAGTTGCGGGATTTCCACGGGCGCCGCTAGTAAGGGAGGGCTGATCGCCATCTTGTCCGGCGATCCCGCCAGGCCTCTCTGATTGCTTTGGTTGACTTTATTTACCCAGTTGAAGGCCTTGGCCGAAACCAACTGTTGACTAATAAGTGCATTGTTATCCGTATAGATACGTGCAATGCTGGTCCACTTGCCCAACAGATGCTGCCTGCGCAGTTTGAGGTAAATTTCACGGATAACTGTTTGGAAACGGCGTCTTCGTTCTGCAGGTCGGCCATTATTGGCGGCTACGGAACTGTTTGTGGCGTCCTCAGCCGTCACCGCCATCATCCCTGATGACGTTGGCCGACGCTTTCGGCTCGCGCCTTGACGAGGATGACGAAGGGACATAGCGTCGGCATCTGCAGCGTGAGGTCGCGCCGTCTCAGGCCGTCGAGACCTTGTGATACCCTACAGGGGAAAGTGCATTTCAATGAGGCATGTGGACCTCCCTTCGAGGCCGGCTGGGAATTAGTTTAAATTCTCTAAGCAACCCGCACGATCGAGTTGAGCTAACAAACCATGCACTCTAAATTGTAGAAAAAACTAGCCTAGCGAGTAATATAGCGCATCACTTTGAGAAAAGAATTCACGAGACGGAGAACACTTCATAAGTGGAAAGGTCTACTGCCTTTCGGATTTCCGATAATCTCGACTTCTTAACCCGAAAAGGCGACGTTCATCAGTCAACATTGAAGAACTGTTGCGCGGATCGGAGTGTGCCCCTTCTCGCATTAGATCGCGAAGATGGATTAATCGCGCAGCCGGCAAAAACACTGTGTCAAGAGATAGCCCGGACTGTTCTCAGAAAACATTACGAACTTTCTGAAATAAGGTGCATTGGGTGAAGTCCCTGATAGGCAGTGGCACGTGAATATACAAACGGAGACTAAGTCTGTAAAGAAGCATTGTCATCCGGAAGTGAATTTGAGTAAGGGGAATATGTAGAAGGTGACAAATTTGCCGACCTCTTGCTTAACTGCAATTTCACGACACTGACTGTATAAATTTGGGCTGGCATCGTTGTGCCACGGGCGGAAGACTTCGAATTTTCTTAATTTACTGTCTTCTGTGCCCGTGAAGTCGCGAATCAATATCTTCATGCCATCTAAGTTTAGACGAGGAGGGGGATGCATGCAATGTTAGTTAAAGTGACGACAGGATGCGCCTCCCGAACCTTATTCAACTTATACGATCCATTGCGTCATCAATACAGCCGAAAATAGCCTACTAACAGCATTTCCCTCCAGTAGAAACAGCAGCAACAACCATCTCTAGAACTCACAGAGAGAACAGCAGAAAAACAAATGAACATTCAGCAGACCGGCTATCGGGAGAAGGCCACAGATTTAAAAAGGTGTATTTGTGCAAAAGGTGGAGTTCAGTCCGCCTAAATCACATTTTCTGCGATTGCAAGCGATCAGTTGACTCGGCGACGTTTGCCCCTGAAACCACCCTAAAATAACAAGCAGAAAAAAAAACAAGATAAAAACAGCACAGGAAGTGCGACAACTTTTACACGGCATTTGAAACTGGCAAAGCCGTCTTTTAAACACGCAAGGGGCGATAACGTAACGCCATGTTAACATTAGTATCCAAGTATATTTTAGCAGCCTTAAGGGGGGAGGGCGAAAACTTACCCCCTGTTTGCCTTTTCCTCCAGCCTTCCGTTTTCGAGCGTTCAGGGTATCAATAAGCGTGGTCCAGAATGCTTTTTCTTCATCGCCTGCAAAGGGATGATCCAATTTAGTAAAGATCAGCTTAACTTTTAATAAAGGAAGCTAGGCATTGGCATGACCCGAGTTCGCACAAAGAATACTTATTTAAACATGCAAAACGGGCATAAAACACCCGAAGTCCAAAATAGTCTTTTAGTGTAGCATCGGTATCTGTGACGGTACTGCTGTCCGTTAGGCAAGTGCAGATTTGCCTCCCAGGACAAACGTGAGTCTTAGCTAGATTCTGTATCTTCAAATAGACTAAATAAATGTTGAAAGGCGAGCTACCACGAGCGCATCTGCTTTCCGAATCTCTAACGAGCACGCTAAAACTTATCAGGAAATAAACGTCATAAATCGAAGACACTCGTTAAGATTTAAGTTTACCGGAAATGACACGCCCGGTAAGGTGGCAATCTTTGTACGTAATTTTGCCATCTTCGAAGGCTTTGGTCAGTTTCTCTAGGGCGCCGGTCGCCGTGTTTGGTTCCTTAAAACGCACCACGGCCTTTCTTTCTTCCGAATTTACATCAATCCACGCGATTGGTACGCTGTTTTCGAGCTAAAATAAACAAGCAGTTTTCGGCCGAGCGACAAAGACAAGTTATTTGTATCAAGACAGTGGCGGCAGATAAGTATGTGAAAGTGATTGTTACTTGAAATATAAATGGGCCTGGATGCAAGACTATGAACTTTATCGTCACCTTCGAATTAAGCCACTCTTTTAAGTTGCTGACAGTCTGTGCTCCATCGTTGCCGTTGGTACCGTTTGCAGTTTCCGGCTTGTCTTCTACCAACTCCTCGGCTGCTGCTGTATTGTCCTTTTCCTCACTAGCGGGTTCATCCCCAGATGGTTCTGGTTTTTCCATAGTGGCCTTGGCTACTAGAAAAGACAATAACAAAGTTCGAGTAGGTTTTTAGGCATAATCAGGACAAATCTCTAGAACACAGACAACAACCGGCGTAGAAAATACCTTTTGTGGACGCAGGCAGACCCTCCAGTTCAATCAGGGCACCCGGAGTCATCCTTGAAGCAACTTCAGCATTGCGACGGTCCTGGGAAGCTGCATTTTTCTTAGCCTTTTCTTCATCTCGTAGTTTTCTTTCCTCGCTCTTCTCTTCCATGTACGTTTTACTACAGTAGAAGCAGCGCTTTTTAAGAAAGTGGGCAAATATCGTAGCTTCTGCTGGAAGGACGCGTAACCCGCCCGAAAACAATGAACATGTGAGCATGTTTTGTAACAAAACGTCTCATTTTTTTTTATTTCTTGGAAATACGTCTATAAGACGTTCTATGTATAGCAAAAATTATGAAAAGTATGAAAACAGATAAGAAAGCGATGTTGCACGTACTACCACTTCCTAATAAGTGAGTTTCCTTTGTATTCGGCACATTCCGCTGATTCCAAAAACTTTTTGGCGTCCTCGTTAGTTTTGAACGTTGCAAATATACTTCCCTAAAGACGTCGGCTGAAAGTTACATACTAACCTTGAATTTTTTATTTGGGAACCGTCTACAAAATACATCGTGAGTTGGGCCAGCAGCCTCCTCCACCCAGCTCATAATCTGGTCTAATGTTGCGTCGAGGGGAAAACCCTTCGCGTAAACAGCTTTGTCTGCATGAAGAGTAAGGGCATCGTCAAGGGTGGCTGGAGCAGGATTCGAGGGGACACGACGAACACCCTCCGGACCAACCTCCACAAGGCTTGATTCCGAAAGAGCCTTTTTAATCAACTCAATATCAGTAGTCAAGCTACTCAATCGCTTAAACTTGAGCAGTGTATCAAAGGGTAACCCTGAAAATATGTCGAAAAATAAATAACTCACATCCGCCTTTCTCTTGCAATGTGTTTTTCATGAAGTTATCTTTCGACAAATTTATGTCCCCGAAATAGTACTAAAAATAATTTCGATGAACCTTTTCGACATTTTACCTCGACCTGCCTTAGAATTTTGGCTGTCAATTCTGTGTCGGACATGGCTGGAGGCGGGGCGTGCTCAGTTCAAGACTTGTGACTGCCGCCCACGAAATTGTATTGGTAAAACCCAGCTTGTTCAAATAAAGAAGGCAAAAGCTTTATCTAGTTGTCCGCATAATTCGTTGGTCTATCTAAAGCCTTTTTGAATATTTTTTCGTCGCTAAAATTGGCCGTATACTTATAAATACTCTCAAGCTGATTACATTTAGTCAATGCACATAAAGAACTGGCTTTAAACCAAAAGCAGTAAACAATAAGACAAACTGCAGTCAATCGAAAATAAATCAAAGTTTAGTACACTTGTCGCAAAATGAGAACTTCTGAGCAATTTATTGTTTTCATGCTAGAATCTAGGCGGGCATTAAGCGTTCAGTAGAAACTTAGAAGCTGATGATGTAGAGTTGGCGCTTCAGAGGACTCCCAAATTTCAGATCCCATTTTCATCATTAGAAACTACAGTGCTTTTGATTAAAATCGTGCTTATTTCTTCGGAACAGAATTTATCCTATATATGTGATCGGTTTATAGGCAAAGTGGCAGGTTCACCTGTCATTGTCTTAATCTCCTGGCACGTGGAAACGACGACGGTATGTTTATGTTCAGTAAGGTATTTCTTATTATCTGAGGATGTGAGCGAAGCTTTGTGGGACAATATAAGTTTTTGGATAGCGGAACACTAGCCCGGGCTGCTTTTCGAAGAAAACTTACGGCGGACGTACCTGAGAAGCTTAGTAACAAAGAAACGGGCCGGAAAAGCATAAATTATGGAATCCGCTCAATTCTTTTGAACCCTGCATTAAACACTCTGGCGCTCCAATGAAGCGGATTTTTAACTCAAACGTACTTAAAAATAGTATGGCATGCACTTGGTTAGTGTGACCCCTAGAACTCCACAACTCGCTATCAAACTGTTAACGCGCGTTCCAAGAGGGATGTTCATGCACGACAACTTTACTGCAATCTCCCAAAGATAAACCCGAGCTCTCGAGAACAGACACGCGTTTCACACAGCTTTGGTGGACTTTCAAAAAGGTCCGTATTGCAGCCCATCAAGAAGGCATATTTGGATTTTAATCAAGTCCTCTAGTCCACACCTTCGCGAAGATTTGTAAGATCGCATTTATTATTCAATTTTTTATAATTCAGTAGACATACCGAAAAGATAAGGCCTTGAGAAACCCTATGTACAGCTATACGCTTAAAAAGTGTCCATGTTTATACAGCTGTATAGGCATGTTATATCATTTTTCCTCAATTAAATTGGCGGACATCAAGTAAATTGCCACCAAGTCTTCTTTTGAATGCCTGAACTTTTTCCGTTAGAACAGCCAAATAAGGTAGTTTGTTCCATTCTCTAATCATCTGGTGCAGAACGAAGTTGGTATGTACTTCAAGTGTGGAGCACTTTGTCTTCAATTTGTACTTGTGGTCCCCGGGGATTTTTCATTTGTGCCAGTTCAAAGAAATCAGCCAACGGATGTGCACAGTCTACCCCTTTTACGATCTTGAAGACCATGGTCATACCTCCTCTGTATTGTTTATAAGAGTAAGGAAAAATGTGCAGCCATCTTATCATCCGTTATAAGACAGGCACTTCAGTCAACTGACTAGTTTCGTGGCCATTCGTTGAATGTTCTCCAAAAGCATATAATCTTGCTTCGTCCAGTGGCGCCACATCTAAACGCAATATTCTAATGCCGGCCGGCTAAATGTTCCAAACATTCGGCTAAAAAGCTGGCCTTCAAAAATTAAGGAAGGATTTCCTGATAGCCCAAAGGATACCTATAGCCTGCTCTGCTACCATAGCGCAGTGGGAGGAATGTTTAAGGGTGAGCATCATCCACACGCCTAGGTCCCTTAATCCGTTTGCCGGCTCGATCCGACGACCTCCGATGAAATACTCGTATCCAAATCTCATAACCTCTTGTAGCTAGACCGTATACGGTCAACATGGCATTTTATGAAATTAAATTTGAGAAGCCATTCGTCACACCACTTTTGTAAACGATCCAAGTTGTTCTGCAAGTACAGCGCATCTTCCGGCATTTTTATTGAAATACATATCTCCGGATTACCAGCGAACGTTACCTCCTCGCTACTCAGGTAATTAAGGCAGACATTCACATATATTCAAAGCAAGATGGAACCAAGAAGACCCCTTTCAGAACCCCACTGTGAACGGTATCCCACTCCGATTTGACGTCAAGAGTACAAGCATGCTGATGTCTGCCTGTGAGGACGTCAGCTAGCCACTTGGGTAAGTTGCTAGTCATGCCCATTTACGGGGTTTATATATCAGCCGTCTGTGTGGAACACTGTCAGAGACTTTGCTGAAGTTAATGTAGACTGCAGCTGCTGACACACCCATTTCGAAGGATTTCGTTCGGCTTTCCATGGAGGTGAGAAGGCTGGTGAGATAGGACCGACCGCTTCTTATTTCATGCTGATGCGCCCTAAGCAAGTCGTTCTTAATATGCTTCATCAGTCCCTTTTTTATTATTTTCCTCTCCAGTTTGCAACAAATGCTCGTGAGACTCTATCATCTTGAACTATTCAGTGAGGTTCTTTCTACACCTTGACGTATTGGGCTTAGGCTGGTTAGCTTCAAGGTCATTAGGCAGAACCTCTGTTTCCATGTAACTTTCGCAGGTCCTGGAGAGCGGGGAAGCCAGGTCCCACTATTGAAGATATCGTGTTTCGAGAAGAAGAGGCGATTTTGGAAGAACTAAAAAGCTTGAAGGAATGCTAATCTTCTGGTCCGGACGAGATACCAACAAAGCTGCTCTTTGAGCTTTCCCGAGAGCTGGCCAAAACACTATCCTTTCTGTGTCAGGAATCGCTTGATGCTGGAATCCTTCCCACAGACTGGAAGACGGCCCACATTACACCCTTTTACAAAAGCGGTATTTGTGCTCTTGCAACGGACTACAGACCCGTCAGTCTGATATCATTTTGTTGCAAAGGGATGGAGAAAACCATAAAAAAGGAGTTGATGGTTTACCTGGAAAGCCACAACCTCTTGCCCGATGCACAATATGGTTTCCGTACGGGAAGATCATGTGTAACGAACTTGCTATATACAATGTAAAGTTGGACAAGAGCACTGGACGCCAAACACACTGTGCACGTGGCCTATATTGATTTCCGGAAGGCGTTCGACAGTGTTCCGCACCTGCGTTTCCTGCACAAGTTGAGAATAATGGGCATCGGCGGCAAACTTCTCAAATGGATCGAAAATTTCCTCGTCGGCCGCTCCCAAATTGTCTGCGTATAAAAACAGCAATCAAGGAGCACATTTATAGAGAGTGGAGGTCCACAAATCTCAGTGCTCGGACCAAACCTCGTTCTCTTGTTCATCAATGATTGTGTAGGTGTGTTGGACTGTGATAATGCCGTGTTTGCGTACGACAAAAAAATCTGGAAAGTCATCCAGAATGTTGCCAATAAAACCAACTTCCAAGAAAATCTTTGTCGATTGGACGAGTGGCCTCGCAGATGGCTCTTGTCCTTCAATTTGAACAAATGTACCATACTGCGCCTCGGAAATCAGACCCCTAGTACTCGGCAATACCATCTGAACGGAATGCCACTTCGAGAAGCATAAACGCGGAAAGATCTCGGAATCTGTGTTGGGGACAGCCTAAAACCCTCTACATAATTTGTAAGGCGGCTAAGGCAGCAACTTCAATGCTATATGCCATCAAGCGGGCATTCGCAGTTTTCGATGAAGATTACTTCCCCAAAGTCTTCCGCACGTTTGTAAGGCCGCATCTCGAATATGCAATTCAGGCCTGGAGACCGTGGACGCAGCAGGATTCCAATCTGCTGGGAAGGGTGCAGAGGCGAGCAACAAAATTAATAAGAGTTCCAGGTGCACTGTCATACGAGATCCGCTTAATTAACCTTAATCTCTATCCTCTGAGTTATGGGCAGTTGCGTGGAGACTTGATACAAACTTTCCGTATCGTGCGTGGCTTGGAGTGCGCGCCTCGGCGCGACGACTTTTTCTAACTCGCCACAACAACTAACCTCCGGGTACATCCCTTCAGACTACGTGTGTCCCAGAGTAGATTGAATGTAAGAAAATATTTCTTCTCCAACCGTGTCGTGGAACCGTGGAATAACCTGCCCGAGACGGTTTTTATGTCTCAGTCTGTGGAGACATTTAAATGTCGGCTTGATAGACATATGCTGCAGTAACAAGCGGACTACGTGACTGCTTAACCATGAGACCAGTGACATATGCGAATGAATGTCTGTATTCACTTAGTGCTGTGATTTCTTCACAATTTTGCTTATTTTATCGATTTCTTACGTACAAATAGGGAGTTCCACGGCGTAAGCCTATTTCCCTCAAATAAACTGGCTGACATTTATGATGTCACCCACTCAAATAACACTGGAACATGACCCTAAAAACAGTTAAAGTAAGGATGGACTGCATCATTTATAAGTACAGCACAAATAAGGATATTCACTCTTTTATCTTTTCATTTTAATCAGCTGACTCGCCAGACACTAAAAATCCTTCAGTAACTAATACGAAGATAGATATATAAATTTTTTTAAAGACCCGTCGGGGTCCCATCAAAGCAAGTTAAAATAAATTTGCCTGCGAGTTTTAGACGAGGTAGGCCGAATCTTTACAAAATGCAATTCATAGTTTCTGAATTAGAAGTCCATTGAGAAACATGATGATTGAGGGGTGAAAAAAAAACTCCTTACAAAAAGTTAAAAATGATTGGATTGATTTTACAGGAGAAAAAAAACCCCTCCATAAAAATAATAACAGAAAAAAGCGAGCAGAACTGGCCTGTAGGTGGCGGTATATAACGGAATGTTGTCGGTCATCGTCAGGGTAGCAATAAATGTCAGCCTTGATGGGTACGAATGTGGGTCAGACAGGACTGACTTGCAAATGGCATTGTATACCGGATTCACAATTGAGATCGTCTGGGCCGGATTGGTACGCCGCGTCAAAGAGGCCAGACGAGAGGAAC